TATATTCAGACCTAACCCATACAAAAATTAACTAGACGATTAGGACATATTATATGTATAATTTGTTTAAATTAAGTAAGAGAATAGGTAAGAAAATGTATATTCAATCAAATCTAAGTGTAATGTCTTTTATTTCCTTTTGTTGAATTTGAAACAATATTGTATTAGAAGTCATGACTCATTTATTTTGAAGGACCAAATTTGTTTTTATTTGGCTCTTTTAGGTCAAGACCTATTCATATTTGGCTCTTTTTTTTATCCGTTCAAAGTTTGTATGTATTTGGCTCTTTTAAAACTAAGAACGTTTGGCTTCTTTTACTCAAATCGAGACCTTGTTTTACAATTTTGATCTTTTAAAAACAGGGGTCTACTTCTGACTTAACAAACAGTGCTTCTAAGTTTATGTATCTATACATAAGAATCATACTAGCTTTTTTTTGATATAAAGCTTACACTTTATTACCATTTGTTATTTCAAAATACGATACTAATCTAATTTAATTGCTCTTTATTTTACATTAATCTATATCCCAATCGTTAGTGCTTTATTTTTGTTTTCCCATTTACCGACACCTGAAAAGTACTTTTTTAATTAGAAAATAATTCTTATGAGCAACTAATAATAATATAACTATAGCTACGGCATAAGCTAATTTTGTAATCTATTTATTAATGTTATATTCAAGAAATTTAACTTGTTTCGAGTTTTGATCTTTTATAACCGAAGGGTACAGAATCATAGTCCCCGACACGTCTTCGTTTTCTAAAATTAGTACGAAAAACCTTAGTAATTTCTTTCGTAATGACTTCATGACACTGAGTTCTTAAAATATTTTTTGTAGATATATATTCTGGAGGGGCATCATCTAGAACCATATCTCTAAGCTTCTCGAAGTTGACAGTCTTGGATGTTTTGTGGTTTATTGTTATACCTTTTGCTTTAATTGTATCATGGTATTCGTTTTTTTCAGGTAAATATACGCGATAAGCATATAATTTAGGACCTCCGGAAACAAATTGTGTGATGAAACTACCCTGTCCATATTCTTCTAACTCATCGGTCATTTCACCGAGAAAAGATCCTAAAGGTATATCGAGCGTATTCGGTTTACTTATATAAATGATACTATCTGTATCATAGTACAACACTCTATCCTCGAGCATTTCCAAATAGCTGTAAAGTTTTAGCCGTGCTTGAGCAGTGGTATATGCTGCTAGTGCAACGTTAACAGTAGGCAAAGGATCGTAAGCTTCCTCTTTATACATCCAGTTTACTATAAGCACATTTTCATTTATAGGATATATATTATGTACTTCTACAAATGAACCTGATAGCAAGTCGAAAAATTCTGATGGGTCCTTTACAATAGATGTTTTCATCTGGTTTTCACGCTGCCCTAGTTTACCCCAAAATGATGTGATTACTGATTTACCTACTTGGCGAAGGCCTGGGTTAAACTCTATTTCCTTAGGTTCTAACCTAACCCCTTCTCTTTCAAAATAATCTTTAATATATTTTTCTTTTTTCTCATCGGAATTACAATCAGTAGGTAGTCCTGAAGCCTGTTGTTTTAATTTAAGAAAAGTAGAAATGTAATCAGCAAACAGACCACCGCTTTTAGTGTTTGGGTTATATTGTTCAATTTTATATTTCCAAATTTCGTAAATCTCAACAATTTTATATCCTTTTTCTAAACTTTTTAGCACTTCATCAATTACCCAGGTACCCGTTAAAGCTCTTTCGTCTTCCGTATGTTCACATTCATCGCTCATATGTTGACAACAGGTACGACAAAGAGGAAACATTAATTTGTTATTTGATTTCAAAGGTAATACGGGGTGGTAAAGTTCTTGAGGAGGAAGAATTTTACATTTTATTATTCCGTCAGTTTTATTTAAGTCCAGACGATTACAATCATCACCTAAAATGACTTCAGGATGCCCTACAGGGTATTTGCCATACTTATTAACCCAGGGGTACAACGAACAAACATCAACATATTTTATTTTCTCATCTTCCTTAACTTTATAATACAATTTTGTGGCACCTGTTCTACCACCATAAAATGCGTCTCTAGGGTTTAAGGGTAATAGAGAAAGAAGACGGTGATTCTCGGCATATGATTCTATTTCGGGTGTTAGCGTGTTTTTAAACTCACACTCCCACATCTCAATTACTTCATAGCCGTTTTCACGAAGTCTAGCAGTTTTAGCAACCGTTGCTTCGTATCGCGACTCCATAGTTGATGAGGGGTCGTCATAAGTAAAACTGTTACGATTGTACTTTATACATTTAGGGCAGCCATGATAATAACAACCATGAAATTCAAAAATTTGTTTAGTTTCAGGGCAAAACCCGTCAACTTTAATACCTGCAACTACCACCTCCTCTTGCTTGGCTGCATGTAATATGTTTATTTGACGTTCATGCTCTTCCCAGAGAAGCCACTGAATCGCAATTTTACTTTGGTTATCACGCCATCTGTACCCTTTCTTTGGTATTATTCCTATGGTATTAGGTTTTAAAAAATTTCGCCGGAAAATTTTATTACAGGCTCCTGGTAGAGTTATAGCTTCTGTAAAAGGATCAACGTTTCCTTCTTTTATCATTAAGTCTCTAAATTTCAAACACGCTCGGGTCAAAATATCTACGTCTGATATACAATATTCAACAATTTCTTTTTGAAAGTCGAATACATATTTTTGAGAGGATAAATCATTATACCACTTAATGAATATTTTTCTTTCATCCTCTTTCATATTGTCAGGGTCATAGTATTCATGTGGCGGAAGAGGTCCTACATAACATTGGTTTTCTGTTGTATTAAATAAATGTGGGAAATAGCCTTTCTTTACACCTTCTAACCCAAAACATTTTGGTAGTTTAGCTAGAGGCATAGGGAAATAGCTAAGCGAATCTATAAATTTAACATTACCCACTTGTAACGATAGAAGTTTTGTACCTCTAGTTATCAATTCAGGTTGCAAATTGGTACTTGATAATATGTAGTTGAGTATAAATTGGGTATCGTAAATACCGGCGGCATGTCCTATTACAAACACCTTTTTGAACAGTTTTCTCTGATTCAATACAAATTCCACAAAACGGGAGACAGGATCAGTCTTCAATATTTGTAATCTGGGCCCACATCTTTGACAGGTTTCAAGCAGGGTGTTTATACAAAATTCACAACATTGTTTAAATACACACAAATTAGGTTCATGCAGGAGTGAATTATTATCCTCCATCAATTTTTCTTGCATGCTCTCTAAGTCGTAAAAAATTAAAAGATGGTCTTTTATAGTGGGTTTTTTGGTATCTATAGGCATGTAGCAATGGTGTGGGGTAGGTACATGTTCTTTACATATTTTACAAAATACTTCACCACATATGTGGTGTCTACCAAATTTTACTGTTTTAAAACATTCATCGCATCTATAAATTTCATGACATAATGAGTTCTGTCCACGATACCCTTCTTTTTTATGGTTATCAAAACATACCTGCCCACGAAATGATCTTTTACAATCACCACATCTAATAGAAGGTTGCTGAAAACAGGGTGGTGACTTCTGACATGCGGAACATGTTGCTTCACACCTATGGCCTGTTTTGTTATTATAAGGTGTATAACACTTTTCACAATAATAACCACAGGAAAAGGCTGCAGTAAGTGATGTAATAACATTAAAATGGCCTTCATGAAATAAAAGATTTAGTCTTTTACCCCCACTATTGCCGGTAAAAATAACATCTCGACCTTTACTACCATACTTATACACAGTTATTTCATAATCTTGGAGGTGCTGTTGCAACTGGTTTAATTCGTTGATACCGGCCCCCTCTAGAGGTATTTGGACCCCAGAGGTTTCTAGTAGTTCAATTGCTCTAATTGTCTGAATTTTATTTGTGTCCTTTCGTATTTTTTGATAGAGAGGGTTTTTATTGATATATGCCTGAGCAACAACAAGTGCACGAGGTAGGCAGAGATGGTCGTTGTTATCTACACATACGAGACCTCGACGTTTGGCACATTCCTCGTTAAAGGTGTTGTATTTATCTTTTCGACCTCTACCTCTAGGCATTTTCACTGATGTTACACTTAGACAAAATGTATCTGTATCAAAACCGGAAGAGTTGGATTGGTAAACACTCGAAATCATATTCCATATATCCTCAATTTTTACTTCTGATGCTGGTCTAAAACTTATCCAGCCGTCCCCAGTGTCGAAACTTTTGCTACAGAAAGTGAACCCTATCTGGTCGGTAGGTTCTGTACCCCTCATACCCCTTTCAATAATACCCCTAAGTGCCTGTTTAATCCAACTGACAGGGTCTACGTTCTCAGGGGCTTTACGAATTTTAAAATCAACGGTTCAACCTTTAAGATTAAATCTTCGAACATTTTTAGTGACATCTTTTACAATAACAAAGTTTTCCATTGTAGAACTTAGTTGAATAACTCACCACAACGCGGGGGATTGACGAGCTTCACTCTATGACTTCTACGGTAGTACTAAGCAGTAGGATCTAATAGGCTCCTTTTATATGGTCTATATAAAACCTGCATGTTAAAATTAGTGTAAAAGTAGTGGCGCCCTCTGATGGTTTGAATAAAAAACTATTGTAAAATACGAATATTTTGGTGATTCACCGTTAGTAGATAATAATTTTCAAACATTTTTAAATATTAAAAACGGGGTATATAGCCCTAAAGACACTATTTCATGAATATTTAATTTACATTTTCATTAAAGTATATATGTTTATTTTTAAATATTTACTACATCAGTAATACTTTTTTATTTTTGCAAAAATAATATCCTACAACTGTAACAATTATACCTATAGAATAGAAAAAGTATTGAATCCGCTGTTTTTATTGTGAACAGTATTTTTGATAGGCATCTACAAAAATGATTCAGGTTTTAGTGCACAAACTTTTTTAATTATTTAAAATAAAAGAATATACTTATACGTGTTGAAAATCACCTCTATTAACTATATCTAAAAAATAAAAATAAACACTGCACGATTTTTGAAAATTTGGATCATAATATTCTTAAGGTCAACTATCAGAACAAATTTGAGATTTCTGTGTCAATATATGTACAGAGAATCAAAATTTTCATTGTATATAACAGAAAGAGAAAAACGGCTTCAATAAAGAATGTAGGCATTTGATGCCTGATTCAATAAAAGTATATATACTTCTGCTGGATATGTACAATAAAAATATTAATTAATGTTGGTTAGTTAATCGAACTATCGGACAGTTATTAACCAGAGTAAAACCCTATCCTCTTTTTATCTCAACTTTTATCTATTAAAATATGGAGGTTAATTGAAATGCAAATGTAGAAATTATATGAAATGTCATACTGTTTGTCAAACGTCTTATAATAACCACTATTTAATGGGTTTCATAATAATAATGTTCATATGCATAGAGATGGGACGTGAGAATATTCTCCTGAGAACATTCTCGGAGAACGGAAACTTTCCGAGAAAATTCTCCGTCCTTAAATTCTCCAAGAATTTAAGAGAATTTATGAAGTGTCATCTAGTATGTACTAGCACAATCATGGCGGTAACTAAAACTACAGAAGTACAGAACACGTATTTTATGAACACTAAAACAATGAAGAGCAATGAAGCTTGTTTTATAGACAAACAACCAAAAAATCCGTGTAAATCAGCGGTCTTACTCAGCTACCTTCCTTCCACCTGTACATCATGAAGAAAAAAGGTGAGGTCTGGAAGCACTTTGATTATGACTCCAAAAAGGGGAAATTCAAGTGCAAATATTGCGGCGATAAAAAACCAAATTCGAGAAATAAGACACTTGCTTAAGTGCAAAAGTTGACCGGTACAAAACAAATTGCACTTTTCTAAAGCTGAAGTATCTATTAAAGATAGATTTTCTTTTGTTACTGTTTGTGCTTCTGCTCTGCTTGTGCCTGTGAGCCAGTCTACCGCCTACCTACTGCTTATAATCTATAAAATTTTAAATAAATAACCTGAGAATCTGACTAGCAGTTGATGCGAATTAACACGATATAATAGGTTGAAACTCCGATAAATATAAAGCATTTTGATTTTCAATTGATTTCTAACATTTAACAATAAAAATCATTCAGAATAAAGCTTAATAATTAAATATTAATATAAGTAAAACATTTTATGAAACTCTATATGTAATTTTTATTTATTTTTATACTCCTGTTTAAATTCTCTCGTTCTCTTAAATTCTCTTAAATTTCTGGAGAATATTCTCCGATTATAAATTCTCGAGAATTTCCCATCTCTACATATGCATATAATTGTTTCTTTCTATAAATGTAGATAATGATTACTATAATATTCGTATGTACCTATATACATTTACATATTTATAAAACCTTTAAATTTCAATTTTAAAAGATTTTTATTAGAGGGAATCAAAGGGATTGTTATCCTACCCGGCTGGTCGTGTACGTTGTTATCTTTTTACGAACAGCCGAGAAGGTGTCGTTTTGGGGAGTAAAGATACAGTTTTGTGTCATCAGAAGAGCTATTATCATTAAATTTTATGCAAAGGTTTATGGTTAGTATGCTCAGAGGTGTAACATTAACTTAAACACAGATCTGCTTGTTGTGGGTTCTGCTGTTACATAAATGTTCATATTATTATTATTATTTTATATAAGAATGCCTTAAAACCTTGAAATACATCGTCGGAGGAAAAATATCCTTAAAAAAGTTATAAAGTTTTNCACGCACGCACGCACGCACGCACACGCGCACGCACGCACACACACGCACACGCGCACGCACGCACACACGCCCACACGCGCACGCACGCACACACGCCCACACGCGCACGCACGCACGCACGCACACGCACGCACGCACACACGCACACACACACACGCACACACACACACGCAATTAGTTAATATGTTTACTAAATACAATTATTAGGTATAGGTTGTTATTAATGAAAGTTATCAGCTGTTTGGTATGATGTCGATATAGGTATTAAAATAGTCCCAAGTGCATGTCAACGACGGTGCCTGGTGAGATCTGAGCAGGGAGTAGGGTTACCAGGTCTATTTCATGACAGACCCCCAGGAGATATGACCCCGTTTGTATAATTGTAAAAAAAAAAGGTCTCAGGAAATCTGGGAGACAAATTGTTTTCGAAGAAATCGATGTCTACAAAAAAAATCTACTTTGTGACAGATCTGAAGGAAATAAT